AAATCTGCCGGCGAAATCCACGCTGTACATCCAAGTCTACCTCGGCGAAACGCCATGGGTGTGTAACGTCGTCGAAATCGTGAAAGGGATCAAACTCCGCTGGGCCAAACAACAACAATACCAAGTTTGCTCCGCTTACGTGCGGGTGATCGTTAACGCCTACACCAGTCTGCAGGGAGTCACCGTGACCGTGGAAGACACGATATCGCTCACCGAAATGTTCCAACTCGACAACATACATCTCATGGGTTTAAAGTGCACGTCCGAGGAATTATCCGATAACCAATTGAAAAACCATTTCGTAATACATTATATTTAAACAAGATGAACCATCATCATCCCAACGTCACGCTAGTTGATCTCGGGGACACGCGGGGATTCGATCTGCCCGGTAAGGAAAACACCTTGTATGCATGAGCTTACAAGACAACTTGTACAAATGACGAGAAGTCATCATCGAATCTCAGTTGAACTGGATTATTAACCTGGTCCTGACCTACCCCTATCTTATCATGGACAATAATGACGGTGGCGTCTCGCTAAAAATAGAAGGGATACTGCTGGGGACCGACCCCATGCTCACTAAAAAGTGATTATTTCCTAAACTATTTGACTGATTTTCGTGAAAATTTGCATGCATCTCGGCAGATGGTTACGCTATAGCAAAACGGCATTGGGAACACTCTCGATGACTTCATTAGATTAATTAAGACTTAATTATGACAAAAAGTTGGACATTTTGCCTTTTCCCGACCGACCCCATGCTCACTTAAAAGTCAATATTTTAGAAACTATTCGACCGATTTTCATCAAATTTTGCATGCACCTCAGTAGTAGTATACACAATGGGGCTACGGGACTTCCCATGGGCTCAATTTTTTTAATTGAGCCCTTGGGGGGACCTGGTCCCGTAGCCCCATTGTGTATACTACTCTGCTTCTACACCATCAGGCGTGTGGGATCGCACTAACAACCAGTTCATTTCCACACAGCAGTACTGTCCACATGGGATACAGATGGACGTTCAGGCTAGCATAGTTCCATCCTTAACTCTCAGTCGGAGGGAGAGCAGGCAGCAGCTGACTCCCCTTAGATTTGACATAAACCAATCATTGCTAGTAAGAATCTCAGAATCGGTCAAAATTCTTCTTTCTAGATTTCCACGCACCACTCTCATTGGCATTCCAGGTTGGTTGAGTCATGCCTCCTTCAGCACATAAAGCTGCCACTCTGATTGTCATACAACAGTGTTTAGAACCGTGGTAATCCCACCCACTGTGGTGTAACACCTGCCTCCATGTCACCTGGATCTGGGGTATCCTCTCCGAGAGTCTTTAGAAATGAAATGTTCAAACACTACATTGGTTTCTGTGATTTCATTTGATTGTGACGTTATGGTTACCGATGACGTCACAGCAGCGACTTATCCCACTTGTGGGAGATATCATTTGTCATGTTCTCCTCCAGTAGAAGCCAGTCATAGACAACAGAGCAGCGACTTATCCACTTGTGGGAGATATCATTTGTCCTGTTCTCCTCCAGTAGAAGCCAGTCATAGACAACAGAGCAGCGACTTATCCCACTTGTGGGAGATATCATTTGTCCTGTTCTCCTCCAGTAGAAGCCAGTCATAGACAACAGAGCAGCGACTTATCCCACTTGTGGGAGATATCATTTGTCCTGTTCTCCTCCACTAGAAGCCAGTCATAGACAACAGAGCAGCGACTTATCCCACTTGTGGGAGATATCATTGTCCTGTTCTCCTCCAGTAGAAGCCAGTCATAGACAACAGAGCAGCGACTTATCCCACTTGTGGGAGATATCATTGTCCTGTTCTCCTCCAGTAGAAGCCAGTCATAAACAACAGAGCAGCGACTTATCCCACTTGTGGGAGATATCATTTGTCCTGTTCTCCTCCACTAGAAGCCAGTCATAGACAACAGAGCAGCGACTTATCCCACTTGTGGGAGATATCATTTGTCCTGTTCTCCTCCACTAGAAGCCAGTCATAGACAACAGAGCAGCGACTTATCCCACTTGTGGGAGATATCATTTGTCCTGTTCTCCTCCAGTAGAAGCCAGTCATAGACAACAGAGCAGCGACTTATCCCACTTGTGGGAGATATCATTTGTCCTGTTCTCCTCCACTAGAAGCCAGTCATAGACAACAGAGCAGCGACTTATCCCACTTGTGGGAGATATCATTTGTCCTGTTCTCCTCCAGTAGAAGCCAGTCATAGACAACAGAGCAGCGACTTATCCCACTTGTGGGAGATATCATTTGTCCTGTTCTCCTCCAGTAGAAGCCAGTCATAGACAACAGAGCAGCGACTTATCCCACTTGTGGGAGATATCATTTGTCCTGTTCTCCTCCAGTAGAAGCCAGTCACAGACAACAGAGCAGCGACTTTTCCTACTTGTGGGAGATATCATTTGTCCTGTTCTCCTCCAGTAGAAGCCAGTCATAGACAACAGAGCAGCGACTTATCCCACTTGTGGGAGATATCATTTGTCCTGTTCTCCTCCAGTAGAAGCCAGTCATAGACAACAGAGCAGCGACTTATCCTACTTGTGGGAGATATCATTTGTCCTGTTCTCCTCCACTAGAAGCCAGTCATAGACAACAGAGCAGCGACTTATCCCACTTGTGGGAGATATCATTTGTCCTGTTCTCCTCCAGTAGAAGCCAGTCATAGACAACAGAGCAGCGACTTATCCCACTTGTGGGAGATATCATTTGTCCTGTTCTCCTCCAGTAGAAGCCAGTCATAGACAACAGAGCAGCGACTTATCCTACTTGTGGGAGATATCATTTGTCCTGTTCTCCTCCAGTAGAAGCCAGTCATAGACAACAGAGCAGCGACTTATCCCACTTGTGGGAGATATCATTTGTCCTGTTCTCCTCCAGTAGAAGCCAGTCATAGACAACAGAGCAGCGACTTATCCTACTTGTGGAGATATCATTTGTCCTGTTCTCCTCCAGTAGAAGCCAGTCATAGACAACAGAGCAGCGACTTATCCCACTTGTGGGAGATATCATTTGTCCTGTTCTCCTCCAGTAGAAGCCAGTCATAGACAACAGAGCAGCGACTTATCCCACTTGTGGGAGATATCATTTGTCCTGTTCTCCTCCAGTAGAAGCCAGTCATAGACAACAGAGCAGCGACTTATCCCACTTGTGGAGATATCATTTGTCCTGTTCTCCTCCAGTAGAAGCCAGTCATAGACAACAGAGCAGCGACTTATCCCACTTGTGGGAGATATCATTTGTCCTGTTCTCCTCCAGTAGAAGCCAGTCATAGACAACAGAGCAGCGACTTATCCCACTTGTGGGAGATATCATTTGTCCTGTTCTCCTCCAGTAGAAGCCAGTCATAGACAACAGAGCAGCGACTTATCCCACTTGTGGGAGATATCATTTGTCCTGTTCTCCTCCAGTAGAAGCCAGTCATAGACAACAGAAAACATCAACCAAACCAGGACGTATAAGTTTATTTCAACACGAGAGAAAACAGATAAACTACAATTTCATATATTCTGATAAAAGTATTGTTATTTAAAATATAAAATATCAACATTTTCTATGAGCCATCACGATGAGTGACAGTGTGACAAGGCACGCAATGAGAATACAGCAGAGTTGTAAAAGACAATTGTCAGCAGTAGTCCGAGACCGACCACACAACCTATATGAGTCGTTTATCCCAGCAACAGAGCTGGGGACCTACTCACCAACCTCTAACTCTCACCAGGTATACCAGGCTACAACTACATATCGGGAATCTCCAGCACAGTTGTTTGTGCAATACATCATCACACATCACAACTGAAGTATTGCACGTGAGTTAGCACATCCCCCTACAATACACCAGGTTAATCAGCTGTGTACATATTTTGACGCTGGCTGGAGCGAGTGCCGTCCCAAAACGAATAATGACGCAGGCTTTGTCATCGAATAATTGGTAACATTCTTTAAGTATTCATATAAAAGACTTGTTTTTAACCTAAGAGGCCGCCAAAGATAGTATCACTGTGAATACGTGTGAACATCTATACTTCATTATGACTCTTATATCAACTGGCTACATGTTTATGTTATTGTTGATTTTATTGTTTCTGTTCTTATATTTGTAAAAAGAAATCATCATCATCATCATCATCATCATCATCATCATCATCATCATCATCATCATCATCAAAATTTTATTGTTATTGTTTTTGTGCTACTGACATTTTTGTAATATTTTTATGAAAAATATGCGGCGTAAAACTAAACTAAACTATAATATTTTAAAAACCTACAATGAAAATCTGCCTCCTCAAATTTCAGTGTATCTCTGTCACACAAGGCCAGTGTCACCATATGTGACAGTTCAATATCATGCTATGAGGCGCTCAGCATGAAGCCCTTGGTCCATTCAGACTGGTACGAAAAGCTAACGTGAACCCTCCTGGTACCCATGTATGGCGTAGCGAGGTTCTCACTCCAGGCAGTTGGTGGGCGGGGAAAGTTGTGGACGTAAGGGAAAACCTCGCACCAACAAGCCCGATAGTGATTTACAAACAAGTGGACGTAAGGGAAAACCTCGCACCATGAGTCCCAGCCCGATAGTGTATACAATATGCGCGATTTACACAAGTGGACGTAAGGGAAAACCTCGCACCATGAGTCCCAGCCCGATAGTGTATAAAACGGAAGCATGAATAATGCTGGTTATCTCACACATCTAAGAAGGACATATGGAAAGGTAAAATACATTAAAATTCTTAACAAAGTAAACAATACTAAAATAATGATACGCACTGAGTATTTCGTAAACTGTTATATAAATATTTCATAGACTAACAGGTTTATATGACATGAGCAAACGCCATCCTTGTCCACAGAGCAGGGTATGATATGGGCTCCATTCACCATCTACATTACTGATAGCAGCACAGCATCAACCACACCATCATGAAAGTGATTCATCGTCACGTCTATGTCCAAACTGCCTTTGAGTTATCATGTGTCAGGTTTTAAGGAAAAATTGTTTAGGTAGAAACAGCATAACCATACAGCTGAACGGTTACTTTGGGTCAAAACATAGCGTGTGAAGATAACAGAAAATAACCGTTTCACACATTTTCGCCATGCCCTTCGCTTGACCATGACATAAGTAGAAATCACAAGTAACACATGCTAGGTATATAGTATGTCAGGTAACTTTCATGATCTGAAACATCTAATTCATACCCATAAAATACCAAGTTGTTAAATATATCCATAAATAATACACACTTGATTATGGCAGTTGTATAGTCAGTGTTATATTGGAGGAGCACTGTGTAAAACAAGCATTACAGTTGAAATATATGCCGATAGAAGTCTCACAACACCACTTATCTTACCTCCGGAATGCTGAGATCTGATTGGTTCACATATCTTGATAAAGTACATGTATACGGCCTGGGAGGGAAATATATCTCTGGGCGGCAGAATACATCCTTTATACCCGCTTCGAAGTCAGCATTGCACAAGTTATTCTGAGCTCAATACAAGCTGTGTCTTCTATGAATTTTCAGTTTGTTTGAATTCTTGAACTCGAAACATGCCAAAGCTAAATTCATTGTGGCAGTATCGCTGTGTGTGTATGTGATTTATACGCCCCAGATATCTAGCCTATCGCCAGACGCATTGCTATCACAGTCTTGGCTACAGCTGATAGCATAGTACGATCGGTAAAATACTAATTTTATAACTTTGACATATTATATGAATGATAAAATCACTTTTCTCGTTCAGATTTATCAAGAGGACAAACTGTCCTATCATATCAATGTTATTCATAAAGGTGACCAATATGACGCAGAAATCGCCCATTGCCATGACACCTAAACAAAGCTCATTCACCTCTTCTTATTGACATTGTGTTCTATCAAGGACAAACCATATAGTATGTATATATACTAGAAACGGAAGGATATCCCTGCGTCTGGCACCACATAACGCCCACTGCCATGGTGTATGCCTAGTACCATGTGTTACAACAGGCAGACGTGGTCTGTAGACTCACTGGAAGCTGTCTGCCAGCCATCTTGGGTCTGTGTCTGGAGTCAGCACCTGAAGTACACATAACTCCATGAACAATAGCACCGTTATCACATAACTCCATGAACAATACCACCGTTATCACATAACTCCATGAACAATACCACCGTTATCACATAACTCCATGAACAATACCACCGTTATCACATAACTCCATGAACAATACCACCGTTATCACATAACTCCATGAACAATACCACCGTTATCACATAACTCCATGAACCACCGTTATCACCGTTTAACTCCATGAACAATACCACCGTTATCAAACTCCATGAACAATAGCACAATACCGTTATCACATAACTCCATGAACAATAGCACCGTTATCACATAACTCCATGAACAATACCACCGTTATCACATAACTCCATGAACAATACCACCGTTATCACATAACTCCATGAACAATACCACCGTTATCACATAACTTCAATGAACATTAACGTTATCATACCACCGTTAGCACATAATTCCATGAACAATACCACCGTTATCACACACATAACTCCATGAACAATACCACCGTTATCACCGCATAAGTTCATCAATACATAACTCCATGAACAATACCACCGTTACCGTTATCACTCCCGTTATCACATAACTCCATGAACAATACCACACCATAACTTATGAACAATACATAACTCCATGAACAATACCACCGTTATCACATAACTCCATGAACAATATCACCGTTATCACATAACTCCATGAACAATACCACCGTTATCACATAACTTCATGAACAATACCACCGTTATCACATAACTCCATGAACAATAGCACCGTTATCACATAACTCCATGAACAATACCACCGTTATCACATAACTTCATCAACAATACCACCGTTATCACAAAACTCCATGAACAATAGCACCGTTATCACATAACTTCATCAATAATATCACCGTTATCACATAACTTCATGAACAATACCACCGTCATCACACAACATGATTAACAATACCACCGTTATCACATAACATGATTAACAATACCACCGTTATCACATAACATGATTAACAATACCACCGTTATCAACATGATTAACAATACCACCGTTATCACATAACATGATTAACAATATCACCGTTATCACATAACATGATTAACAATACCACCGTTATCACATAACATGATTAACAATATCACCGTTATCACATAACATGATTAACAATATCACCGTTCTCACTTCAGTTCATTAAGATACTGTTGACAACATATACAGCGGCTGCAGATACCTTGCAAACAGAATTGATACAACAGCTGACTGAGTGTTTGGGGTACAAGTTTATACACGTGTGCTAGACATCTACTTTTCAGTGATCTATTCATATAATACCCACTACTAATTTGCTTTAGGTTGAATGGAATCTGTCGGCGGTGTGTATGGCTATAGATGGGTTGATGTTATCATATTCAGACATACCCTGAGAACCAGTTTCAGGTTCAGCTCTGGTGTGATTCCCTGTAACTCTGAGAAGAGGGGATATGACTGGTCGAGGACCATGTCGGGAGCACCAATCAAATCCTTGATGTCGATCTCAACAGTCCCGTACACTGTGTCGTTCTTGCTGTCCTTCACCTGCACCAGACAACACATGTACGTTCACTTTCTCTCAACAGGTTCACATTCATACACAGATTCACTTACAGCTTGTTCAGCTTGACCTGATCAAGTGAATACTAATGCATTGCGTGACCGTGTCACAACTGGTTGGGCCTATTATTGTGAAGGGGTGCACCTCTGTCAGTTGATTGTCAACATGTCCGAACAGCCGAGACAAGGTCGCAGTTTAACATTCTCTGCTCCCCTATTTAATGAGGTTAACTCGACCTGCCGTTTGTGCCATTTGACCTCCTGGGTCATGCATATGTAGAGTAGATCAGGTCAAGCTGAAGAAGCTGTACTAATTCGCATTCTGAATCAACGGCTGCATATGGAAACAAAGAACCATAAACATTTATTTGATACGAAGCAGACAACCTGTTAAACATGTTAAGGTCGATCTCTCCACATACGTGCTAGATTATCGGCTTCGAATCCCCACATGGGTACAATCTGTGGAGCCCATATCTAGTGTCCGATGCCATGATGTTGCTGGAATATTACCAAGAACGGCGTAAAACTGTACTCAATCACTCACTGGGTCCCCATCTTGACGCAACGTAAACATTTGTCTGCTATTTAGGTGTTGTAATATGCACACACATGCAGATTTAAAAATCATTAAATACAAAAGGTATAATTTCCCTCTACCATTAAGCCAACATCCATCGTATTTTCCCAATATGATCTGTGGCTGCACAGTAAAAGAGGTCAAACCTTTAATGAAAGCATCTGTTCTCCTGCGCATGTCATCAGGAACCGGAAGTCCTGTTGCCACGAGGGCTCTGGTGCGGCAGCAGCTTCGGTGCTCGTGAACTCCTGCTCCTTGAACGACAGACTGACAACGGGGGACACATCTTCGGGTTTCTGGTCAGGTTTCTGCAAACAGTTGTTGAAACATAAACAGACGAAGTAATGTCGTCCAGTAGGAATAACTAAATTAACTAAATCCGTCGTTGCCGTATGAAGAGTGAGCGAGTTTGGTTTAACGTTATTATACTGCAGTATAGGCCCGCTTGGCGTGATGCAGAGTGAGCGAGTTTGGTTTAACGCTATCATACTGCAGTATAGGCCCGCTTGGCGTGATGTAGGTCTCACACGTCAGTGAAACACATTATCACTGGAGCTAACAAATCAGGAACATAATCAATGCAAATCAGGGACTTGAACATGCAACCAGACGTATTGCTGGTAAACACTAAGGGAGGCAACTCTGCACAGCGAATCCACCTTGAGCAGAAAGCATGTGGAGGTTGTTGTGTAGGATCGCCTACATGGCTGCTCTGTACTACGTCTGTGTCGAGCACCTGGAATTACCAGAGTGGTAGCACCAAGGGTATATAGGAGGTCTCACACATGAGCTGACAACCACTTAACACAGCATTCTAGGGTTAGACCATGATGAAGTATGCGATATAAGATCATAAGCACTATGTGGGAATCATTGTTAGTTACTAGGCAATCGTTCCCTGTAACTATCTGGGTGTTTGTGTACTGACCAGTAACCCTTTAGCGGAGTCCACGCAGACCATCAGAAGACACCGCGGGCACTCCCGCTCCTATACAACACATAACATATTTTAGCAACACAGTGTACACAACCGACACATATATGTAAATAACGTATAGAACGAATACAGTGCTCAAGGTAGGTAAAATCATAATTTAAAATGCTTTAATTGTATTTCCACTGGAGATTACGTGCCTCTAATGCGGTGTTCTCTTGGCGTGATTGATGTGTAACGCGGCAGTCAGCTCTATCACAGCTAGCCACGTCCGCCTGTAAATAACCAGTGGGTTCTTTGTTCCAGAGGAAGTATCCTGTATGATTCATTATTTATTGATTCCAGAATAACATGTAACTAAGGTAATGAAGCCCATTATCATTTACGATGTAAATAAAAAGTAGTGGTCAAATTATGAAGCGCCAGTAAAATCCCTACATTCTTCAGCATTGATGCGTCGTTCGCCAGGTAGTACCACTGGAGGGCCAGGTTGATGCTGCCTTTCTCTCCGCCCTCTAGGGGGAACCACTGAAGGGGAAGTAAGGTTTGTTACTGACAAATCAAGTGACCGGTTGACTGTGTCATGTGGTTGAAACTTCTGTAGATCTAAGGTCTATATTAACACTACAACATTACACAGAGCAGTGGCTTGGGTGACAACTATCCTATTACATTAAGTTTGGGAGTTGTTGTCCCAGTAGTGTAACACCCTACCTCATCGATCTTCCCAGCCTCTATCACACGGGAAATGTGAACCGTCGCTCTGTGGAGGGAAACATACGTCCACCTTATTTGTTTGTTTTGGTGTTATAGGCCGCTCTTGGCACTCTTCAAGTTATGTCACGTGTTATCTGGACCAAACAATTCGGTGATTGACATTATGAGCATAGAATACACAAATGCGATATTATGAAGTGCATCAGCTAAAGCAGATGACCACTTGATCCCGTTAGTCGCCTCTCTAAACAAGCACTGTCGCCTCTTACACATACATGTCGCTGAACACCAATACCACCCTGAATGTCCAAGGATGACAGGTTATGCCATATGTCTCATACCTTGCCTGTTAAACACAACCAAATATTCGAAATTACCCATGCCAATTGTATGAATAAACTATGCAAACATAGTAAAGTAGACAACATTTGCATGAATGTAAGTGCCCACTGAATACTGAATGAAGTTGTGGTGTGATGTTACTGACGTTCCCAGACATTCGTCGCTCCCGATGGTGTCCTCGTCCAACACTGTCACTACCAGACGCTCCTCGGCCAAGTCCACTAGAGCCTGGAACAATGAACACATTGTTTACTTCACCGAAGATTCAAATGTTCCCGGCCACTCTGAACGCGCATTATAAGGAAGAAAATCTAAGGCAACTAATACGTCATTACAGAGACAATATAGAGAAAATATATATCCAGGATTACATGGTATCAATCGTGGAGAAATCACTCAAATCGGTTGATTCTGGAACATTACTAGAACATCACTAGGGACATCATAAGAACATCCTAGTGGAACATCACTAGGGACATTCTAGTGGAACATCACTAGGGACATCCCAGTGGAACATCACCAGGAGAACATCACCTGGGACATCCTAGTGGAACATCACCAGGAGAACATCACTAGGGACATCCTAGTGGAACATCACCTGTGAAATCCTAGTAGAACATCACCAGGAGAACATCACCTGGGACATCTTAGTAGAACATCACCAGGAGAACATCACTAGGGACATCCTAGTGGAACATCACCAGGAAAACATCACCTGTGACATCTTAGTAGAACATCACCAGGAGAACATCACTAGGGACATCCTAGTGGAACATCACCAGGAAAACATCACCTGGGACATCCTAGTAGAACATCACCAGGGACATCCTAGTGGAACATCACCAGTAGAACATCACCTGGGACATCCTAGTAGAAAATCACCAGAACATCGCCTGGGACATTCTAATAGAACATCACCAGGAGAACATCACTAGGGACATCCTATTGGAACATCACCAGGGGAACATCACCTGGGACATCCTAGTGGAACATCACCAGGGGAACATCACCAGGAGAACATCACCTGGGACATCCTAGTAGAACATCACCAGGAGAACATCACCTGGGACATCCTAGTGGAACATCACCAGGGGAACATCACCAGGAGAACATCACCTGGGACATCCTAGTGGAACATCACCAGGAGAACATCACCTGGGACATCCTAGTAGAACATCACCAGGAGAACATCACCTGGGACACCCTACTTGGGTCAACTTACATCAAACTTCTGGTCCCACTTGGCGTCCTTCCTGTTCTCGAGTATGGCCGTCTGGAACGTCTGGTCCCCCACTGCAGAACAACATGGCGTTACTACCGCTCCACAAACCATTTAAAAACAGTAATGTTTATGAATTCAGACTTGATCTCGTCACTGTATGGCTGAAATAATGCCGATGTGACGTAAAGGCCAACTCAACTCAACTCAACAACAGTAGGGCCCGTAAGTAGGTCACGGCACTCCGCGAGACCTAAGTGTTCCCGGTGACAAACAACGTACCCTTAGTCCGTTCTAGTAAAGTCATTCTTGGCGGTCGCGCAATATGGAACCAGAGCTGGTTCTTGAATTAATATACGCTTGTCACCGGAAAGTTGAAGCGCGCAAAGGGAGCCGGGAACCAGCTTAGTACCGGAAGTAATGCCTCGCGAGACGTGTACGGGCCCTGCTACTACTGGAATGTTTTACCCATCAATATTTGTATATTCAGGCCTCTTCCTGAGAAACGTAAATGCAGTATTTGATCGGTACAGAGTAGAACATTTAAACTGATTAGCGCATAGGGCAAACCGATGAATAGGGAAAGTTATTCAAGGTAAATAAACCGACCTTTGACCTTCGCATATGGATCTGATATTCCAATACCATCAGCATCCATAAGATCCTTTGCCTCCTTCACGTGTATTGCCAGCACGCCCTGCATGTGGAGAAATAATTCGTTTACATTAACAACAGAGCTGAGGAACATTTTGACAGAAGCCTGTTATTTCTTCACAAAGGAAGGCAGCGTGGGCAAACAACTGTATCTGGATGCGAGAACCTTTTTATCTTGTAGAGCGTACCGACGTAACAAGGACAGGGAAATATATATGTCTGAGCACCTCTTAATTTATAGAGCTTGTCTAAAGGCGAATACAGAGGATAAATCTGTGAGTGAGGGGAGTTCAACTTGTGGGGCGTACCTACTTGCGTGGACAACGTAGCTTACGGAACGTACCTACTTGCGTGGACAACGTAACTTACGGAACGTACCTTCTTGCGTGGACAACGTAACTTACGGAACGTACCTACTTGCGTGGACAATTTAACTTGGGTAACGTACCTACTGAAGTGGACAACATAGCATGGGGAACGTAGCTACTGACGTGGACAACGTAACATGGGGAACGTACCTACTGACGTAGACAACGTAACATGGGGAACGTACATACTGACGGAGACAACGTAACATGGAGAACGTACCTACTTGCGTGGACAACGTAACTTAGAGAACGTACCTAATTGCTTGGACAATTTAACTTAGAGAACGTACCTACTTGTGTGGACAACATAGCATGGGGAACGTACCTACTGACGTGCACAACGTAACATGGGGAACGTACCTACTAACATAGACAACGTAACATGGGGAACGTACCTACTGACGTAGACAACGTAACATGGGGAACGTACCTACTGACGTAGACAACGTAACATGGGGAACGTACCACTGACGTAGACAACGTAACATGGGGACGTAGCCACTGATGTGGACAACATAACCTGGGGAATGTACCTACTTGCGTGGACTACGTAACTTTGAGAACGTACCTACTGACGTGGACAACCGAACTGCATGCAAGGACAACGTAAGTGTGGGGACGTACCTGCACACGGGAGACGTACCTGAGGACGAGGACAACGTAATTTGGAGAACTTGACGCCCTCTCCAATGATGTACTCCATTCTCTTAGGGAAGACCAGCAGGTCAGAGAGCTGACGCTGGATGATGGCGTGGAGCTCGGTACTGAGGACATACAGCCAGAAGCATGGTAAAGACATATCCATCAGGAGCACTACGGAGTTCGCATCCCAATAATATCAACGGGTTATCATTTGGTCTTCGAGGTGTCACATAGTCATTAATTACAGATATACGAACAGCATACTGAAGGGACACCTGCTCCCTGGAACAATGTAGCCATATCTCACTTACTTGAACATAGGAATGTCCATGATGTTGGCAAGGTTGGTCAGGTCGAAGTCCAGAATCTGCAGGACAAAATGTTCGCAGATAAAACAAACTTTTCCCTTTGACAACAATTGTACACCCGTGTGGGACAAAGACAGCCATGTGGAAGACTGCCTTGCAGTCGATACTCACACAAAGACTCAAGATGATATATCTGTAACACGGCGCGAGTATTACATGTAGACAAACGCATGGACATGGATGCAACCCATGGATATGGTGAAACACCCTTGATGTGTATAAGAAGAACTGAGAGTCTGAGAATGTTAAGCTGCCCTACAATCTAATATCACTTGAGCAAAACCTTGAAACACAACGCCCCACGGACCTGTGTATGTGTAAATGGCGAGATAAATTGTTATAACCAGGTTATTTCCGATATTCGAAAGTCCCCATTGCCTTACCGGGTTCGTGATGAAGAAGACGGACACGCCCCCAACCAGGGGTGCAGCACTTAGGAGTGGCTTCAGCACCACGCGCAGCGTCCCCAACAGCTGTAAGGGGAAACAAGGTCACAGAGGGTGTTGTTCATACATTTTAAAACAACCTTAGCCGTAGCACAGTATACAACTGGAAGATATATGATGAACACAGATAAATATTTGACGAAACAATGCATTGAATCTATATGTGACGTGATAGACGTCAATCGCCATATTCAGGCGACGTGGAATGTAGTTAAACCCATTATAACTGTTTTACAGTCTTACAGCAGCCTGACTTCTGTGATTGACATTCTAGAAGTTGAAGAGATGAAGAATGAGGACAGTACTTTAATGGATATACAACTTCTTTATTCTGTTATAGGCGACGTTTCGACATTAAAATCGTCGCCGATACAGAATAAAGAAGTTGTATATCCATAAAAAATTGTCGTCATTCTTTACAGCAGCCTGGTGTGAGAAGAGGTTCAACCAGAAGTTACCTTGATTTGTTGAATGCCTGCAGCGTTGGACACCAGGAGGCCGATGTCGATGTCAGCATCGCCGTCGTAGCTGGAAAACACGTAGAAAGGCATCGTGAAACTCGTTTCCGTTGACGTCAATCAGATACTGACTGTGTGAAAAGAGATATACAGACATGACCAAGATCTACCATTTGGGGACGTGACCTTGGCTACACAGGTGCCTGAGACTGGGTTTCGTCTGCTATTGAGAGGTTAATAGTAGGACTGTGATCGGGAACCTCCTGCAGAAGGCCCACCTCCCCTTCGTCACAAATGTCAGATTGTATACTATTGTCCAGATAATGAGAGAAAAAGTAATTAAAAGTTGATTATTGCGTATATGTCTTGCCTATATTAGTCTGTTTTCACTATAAATGCTGTTCTGTATCAGCAAAAGATCACTCTGCCAGTAAAGATTATTGTAATTAGTTAAGATGAAGCAATGTGCGGAGAACCGTCTGTTTCTACAGGCCAACTCTTCCTCCAGCAGTGGGACAAGCGGACCAGTAGCTAGGGTATGCCAGCTGATAGACAGACATCAAGGCATCCGAATTCAACATCCTTCTGCCAGGGTTGGTCAAGACGACAGAGGTGCACAAGTTAGTTTCTAATGTATCGTCAGTGTATGGTTCGTGTTATTCTCACAAACACAGAAGTAGTGCGGCCTTACCAGAGATCTAGGTCCATGTATATCTCGCCCCGTCTGATGTTGTACACTCTCACTCCCTCCACCCGCAGCGGCTGAAACAGTCAGTTAATTGTGATCCGGCAAACAGCATTTCTGTTTTACAACAGTGTAGCATGACAAACATCATCATAACTCTCTCACTCCCACTCGCCCACTCACTCACTCATACACCCCTTCTAAATCACAACAGTTGGGTGTTATGAACTTTTCATATTCCTTCCGTCAACAAACTGACCTTGGTGCCCATGTCGACCTTGCTGAAGGTAAAGGAATCCATCACTGCTTTCTTCAACTCCGGCTCCACGTTTTTCTTCAAGATGTCGGCCATGAAGTCGCCGACAAACGGCCATAGTTGCTGGATGACCTAAGTCAGACAGAGAACACCTGCAGTTGTGTTGGGTTACAAACATTACCGCACATCCTCTGTTCTTGGGAACGTTTAGAAAAGACTTTCCGCGTCAGCTACACAGTTTTACCCATTCACATTTGAATAACAAAACATTGACAAAATATTAACAAAACATAGGCGTCCGTCACGTCACAGCCAGTTATAGATATGAAGGAAGTTAGGACCGAAGTTTCTAACGTTAGAAACAACACCCTTTTACTGAGAAGACTCGACACGTCCCTGTGTCGGGGTACCAGGTGAGCTGCCCTACCTTGTTGAGCCATTCCGCCTGATCTGTCTCTGGGAAGATAACCTGCAACAAACACAACAGGCAGGTGACGTCACGTGGGCATGCTGGTAACAATAACAGCCTTCAGGTAGCAGCGTTATTCACCGGGACCGCCATTTAGCTGGTATATTGCTGAGTGTCGCGTTAAACAACAAACTATTCGTCGGGTACAAGTGCTCCGACGTTGGTGAGCAGAGAAGCGGCAGTAAAATTGCGAGAGCTATAATGATAATAATGATAGTGCACTTCTCTAGCCGTTCCAGGATGAATATCTTGCTCAAAGCGTTATTATTTACACCGGTAATGTACGGAGAATGTTTACGTGTACGCCGATAATCCTTTTTCTCTCATTTTCTGTAAAAAGATTACAGTGGCCCTTTTTTAACCTTCTTTCAGAATTTTCTATAAAACACCAACGAAAATGAGAGAAAAAGGAAGTAAAAACTGACACTAAAATGACAAAACCTCTAAGTGACAGCAAAGAGAATCAGAGGTACAGCACACATGCTAGTTAGTGGCGGGTCTACACAACGAAGCAGCACTACTGTAGGTGTTACTACCCATATCCAAACAACACGCACTAAACAGTGTTAGTGGGGAGGTTTAAAGTGGGGGAACCCCCTAAGTGATTTAGTGACAGAACTACAGGACTACTTTAGCGGATTTCACAGGCAAGGACATGACACTCACACATCAAGAAGTATCATTCTGGTCAATTTGGGATTTCAACCCACGATAACACGCGCCTATGTTCATGATGGAACCTCTTTGGGAACCTTGTTTAGTAAACGAATCCATAACAACGAAACGTTACAAAGAACCCACATTTATCTCTAACATGTATCGTCGCTAACTGATACAAATGCAGAAACGGCGTAACACACAATTCACTCATTCAAGTGTCATCCTGAACATAGTGTTGACCATGACCACATAACGAACATGGTAACACGTAACGCACCTGCAGGCTGAGCCCCCTGCTGTACAAGGAGTGAGAGTACACGTGACAGCAGGCAGCGCCTACAGTGGTCACCTGACTGATTGACTGATGGGATCACCATGGTGACGTCACTGAGCAGCCGATCCCGAGAACCACAGAGATATGATAAAGCCATATCACAGATCACGTGATCTGCCAACCGATCCTCACTTTAGTCTGTGTCACGCCAGGAGTAACTGGGACGCGAGGATCTCCGTGGTGTACATATCCATAGACTTGCCTTCAATGCAGCCTTGGAGCAAGGCTAATATACCCCAAACGACGTTCCGACCGCTATGCTAATCATTTTAGTAAAGCTTCATTGAATGTCTTCGACGATTGTCGACCCTTGGGTTCAAATACGCCGTGCAGAGTTACCTCCCTGCGTGTTTCCCGCCGTTTGATGTGTCACGTGGTCGGGGTTGTAAATACCATATTCTTACCAAGCATACGCATAGCTTGTCACATTAGACCCACACTGCTGGGTCGCAGAGAGCCGTCTACGACCGGGATCATTTTGGGTTGTCCCCTAACACTCCACTGCCACGACGTAACATAACTGAAACACTTACAGAGACTGTACACTATATGCATGAACTATTATGTGATGTTTTTTGTCGGTGTGATCCCATCTAAACTAAACCGGTCAGTATCGATGAGTGAGCTCCGCCTTTAACTGTGCTACTTCACACTAGAGGAAGGTTTAACCTAGCGGACATGCCCTGCATGGCGCAAGTTCCACTCAGAAGTGCGTTTTTGTAACACTGTATTAATATAAACAGTCATCCTACATCATAATCAGGCCGAGAGGCGAAATCAATAACACCCAGTACGTGACAAGATCCCCTGACGTCGCACAGCTGGTGGCCTCGCCTGCAGCGTCTGTGACAACACCGCTGTCAGTACGCCATCAGATCAGGCACATTCAGCTCTAATAGCCTGTTTGTTTGTTTGTTGTTTAACGCAACACTGAACAACATTCCCGTTATATGACAGCTGTCTGTAAACATCGGGTCTGGATCAGACAATCAGTGACATCATCATCATCATCATCATCATCATCATCATCATCATCATCATCATCATCATCCTGGGATACGATGACATTCGTCAGTCAACTCACCCACAGCGCTTGTCTCCCCTTACGACAAACATGGGTCGTTCATATCCGAATGTCACTTTGGAGGTACTGAGTGCCTTGTGCAAGAAACAGTAAATGTATGCATCTGTCTCAAGGCCTGAGGAAAGGTGTAGTTTTCAGTGCTAGAAGGTTGGCATGAGTATTCAAGCTAATGGTGTCCCGCCAGTAGCCCCCAGGATTAGTACCCTCATCAGAGATAACTAATTACCCTCATCACAGATAACTAATTATCCTCATTGCCTCGCCAAACAATGACTGTATCCTAGACACACAACACACAACAGTTGAACACAGACCTCATGCCCCACATGTCTGATCTACGCAGGGACATACAAGGCTATATTACATGACTGTGTAATTGTAGCTTATTGTGGAAGTGTGAATGTTTCTGTCGAATGTAATCGCAACATGCACATTTCGGTTTGCACCTATCCGTAACTTATGTAACGCGATTTGGGTTACAGTCGACAACACTTAATCGCTGACTCTTGTAATCTGGCTGTTGGATTGCCGACTCCATGGCAACGTACAGCCAGACCCCTGACGACGACCTGAGGTTCTGACCTGACGGTATGATTACACTTGTTTGTTACTCTGTGTAAGGTCTGTAGCTATAACTCTTCTCCTGACAGCTTCAGGGGTCCCTGCACAGATGGAACTGGCAGTAATTTAATTATGTTTTCAATAAAACCTGAACGTGAACTTAGAATGATAAAGATCTAAACGTTCCAAAGTTGGGCCTCACAGAGCACACACATCCCACCCAATGATGTAAACACTAGATAATTATACCTTTGAGAAAATATAACACCAAACATTTTGATTTTCCCCTCACGAAACTTTGAACTTTGGCCAGTTTATTTCTCCAGGGCGGAAGAAATTCATAAAAGTGCATGTCAACAAGTAATAATAATAATAATAATAGGCCACTTGTATTGCGCATTACTCCATGCTTGATGCATGCTCGAAGCGCACAGTCAAATAAAAAGAGTTCAGAGCTGTTGACGTCTGAAAGATATTAGATTTAGAGATCTTCTGATTGATTCTGGGAGGCTGTTCCACGCGGATGTCGCTGCATATGAGAAGGAACGCTGGCCATATCTCACAGTCTTGATGTTGGGAATGCGACACAGAAGCTTGGACTCAGAGCGTAGGGATCGAGTGGGAGAGTAGATAGGCAGGAGTTCCTGTAGGTAGCCTAAGTAAACGCGTAATGACCATTAGTAAAATAACACCAGCAGTGAAACCTTACACAACAACATTTGCCGAAGCTTCTGGGTCTACCAACGATGTCACTCAGTACACGGTCAAACCGTCCCAGACACCTAAAGCGCCAACACACATCCGGGTCCTACACTGAGGACAGTGATGACGACAACGTTCAGATGGGTGGGGACTGATAAACTTGGCACAATATGTTTGAATTTATCACAATATGTTTTACGAAAATATGCAACAAACACAATCACACAGCTGTGTTGAGACATTCCAGGTCCACCTGCAAACGATGCATAACAATGACATATTGGAATGGAAGTTTGTCATTGGATACATGACCATCCAGTATCACTCATGTTAATACCAAATTGATCGATCAATGGTGCGTGAGAGTTATGGCATATGGGGACACATGTTTCAGCGCAGCAGAACAATCATTAGCAATTTAGTAAATTAGGAAAGTGTGTCATGAATATTGTTGCAGACTGGTTAGTCATAGTTATGTTCTGCTGACAATAGCAAGTTAATTTGTCAATATGGTGGCACGCGTTTCTGTTAGAAAGTCCAACATGCCGTAATGTTGTCTCGATGTTGCACAGAGAATGCTATGAAGTTCGATACCCGGACAATCGGGGTACAGTTTGAAACACTGTTAAATAATGTGCAGTTTGATACCCTGCTTAATAATGTGCAGTTTGAAACTCTGTCAAATAATGTGCCCTGTTAAATAATGTGCAGTTTGATACTCTGTTATATAATGTGCAGTTTAATACCCTGTTATATAATGTGCAGTTTGATACCCTGTCATATAATGTGCAGTTTAATACCCTGTTAAATAATGTGCAGTTTAATACCCTGTTGTATAATGTGCAGTTTGATACCCTGTTATATAATGTGCAGTTTAATACCCTGTTAAATAATGTGCAGTTTGATACCCTGTTATGTAATGTGCAGTTTAATACCCTGTTAAATAATGTGCAGTTTGATACCCTGTTATATAATGTGCAGTTTGATTGATAAAACCCAGTTATAAAATGTGCAGATACCCGGTTTAAAATACCCTGTTAAATAATGTGCAGTTTGATACCCTGTTAAATAATGTGCAGTTTGATATCCGGTTACAAAATGTGCCGTTTGATACCCTGTTATATAATGTGCAGTTTAATACCCTGTTAAATAATGTGCAGTTTGATACCCTGTTATATAATGTGCAGTTTAATACCCTGTTAAATAATGTGCAGTTTGATACCCTGTTATAAAATGTGCAGTTTGATACCCTGTTATATAATGTGCAGTTTGATACCCTGTTATAAAATGTGCAGTTTAATACCCTGTTAAATAATGTGCAGTTTGATACCCGGTTATAAAATGTGCAGTTTGATACCCTGTTATATAATGTGCAGTTTGATACCCTTTTAAAAAATGTGCAGTTTAATACCCTGTTAAATAATGTGCAGTTTGATACCCGGTTATAAAATGTGCAGTTTGATACCCTGTTATATAATGTGCAGTTTGATACCCTGTTAAATAATGTGCAGTTTGATACCCGGTTACAAAATGTGCAGTTTGATACCCTGTTATATAATGTGCAGTTTAATACCCTGTTAAATAATGTGCAGTTTGATACCCTGTTATATAATGTGCAGTTTAATACCCTGTTATATAAAGTGCAGTTTGATACCCTGT